GTGTGTGTGTGTGCGTGTGTGTGTGTGTGTGTGAGCTGGTATAGTCCCAGCTACTCAGGAGGCTGAGGAAGGAAGAACACTTGACCCCAGGAGTTTTAGGACAGTGAGGCTAGCTCAGAGAGAAAACCCCACCCAAAACAAACACACACACACACACACACACACACACACGCACAAGAAGGCGGCAAGGGACATGACAGGGATATCCATTAGCCTTGTAACTCCCCAAATAGTATGAAACTGTAGTTGGGGAACCATTTAGAAGCAACGTGAGTGACGGACGTTCCATACCGAGAGTTTCATGATGTTCATTCTGGTCTTCTGGGGGAGGGTGTCCACCAGCTTCTTCAACTGGATCCCTGAGTTTTGCAGGTCTGAGCCAGGGTTGTAAAACTTCAGGGCTGCCTCATAACTGGACTCTGAGCCCATGAAGAGGAACTCAAGGACTTGAAAAAATCCTGGGCAGGTGTCTGAAGAAGCTGGGGTGCGGGCAAAAGAAAGCACATGGACCAGCTTCTCTAAAAGCTGGCCAGCACCCTGCTGGACCAGTCAGTCTGGTCAGCAAGACATAGCAGCCTTTGGGTGATGGAACAGAATGGTGGGGCTCCAAGTGTGGAAATCTGGTACCATGTGAACACTTTCTAGGTTACAGCCAGCTTTTGCCTTTCCTGAGCCGCCTTTCCGTTCCTGACTTGGGTTGGCCACGGTTTTTGTCATCTTTCTAGACACAGTGGGTAACAGAAGCTGCCAGCCTGGCTGTTTGCTGCAGCATGGGGACTGGGAGGAGGCCTCTGGGAGCCTTGCTTTCTATCAGAATGCTCCTACCCACAGCTAGTGGTGGTCTGTGCCATGAGTTACTGAGGGCGTACGGCACAGCCCTTATGCGAATCCAGCGTGGTCCCCAAACCTGGCCTGGAAGATGGAAGCACATATGTATTCTAGTCTGATGGCACAGTCAGTTTGCAGACAAGCCTCTCATCTCACCATGTTCCCTGCAAGGGGGTGCTGTTTGGATTGTGCTATCTCCTGGGATTTCCTACCCTGTTTGCCTCCATCTTCTAACCTAGCCTCAGATTTCCTGCCCTGGAATTCTCTGCATTGTGTGCAAATTTGGCCTCACTGCTTTGACTCAGGACCTGACCCCTATTCCAGTGGCCACTCCAGTAGCTCACATTTGTTACATAACTCATAGCACTGGGCAGGCTAAGGCAGGATGACTGTGAATTCAGACCAAAATGAGACCCTGTCTCAAAACCAAAACACTGGTCACTCCAACTTAAAACTTTCTCCATAATGTCACCAGGCAGGGTGTTTCATTTTCCAGGGGCTCAGTTTTCTAATCTGTAAAATGGGAACAACATCTCTGCTTCATTGGGTTGTTATGAAAATGAAAGGGATAGTCTGTAAAATGGCTGAGCGCAGTGACTAGCACGTTGTAAGTAGCATTAACTAGTTTTACTGTCAGAGTTTTAATATGTGAACACATTGCTATGCAAATATCTTGCCAGTCCACCCCTTCACATGTTTTAGCCCTGTCTTGCTGAGCCACCCACCTCTGTGCACAGCACCGATATCTAATTAATAAACATTTTAATCCAAAATGATGTCATTTCCCCTGAAAACAAAAAAGTGTTCAATAAAAACAGCCACTCCCATTTTGCCTTGATTTGGGGTCTAAATCTCCTTGGTCATAAAGCCTGTATCCACGGACATTATGAACCTTTTCAAAGACATTAATTAGGGTTTGTTTTTAGGAAAATAATACAGCATTATCAGAGAGGAGAGGGGGAAACTGATGGTGGGAGAAGTTTTCCCAACCTCATTTCCGAAGCACAAAATTTGTGGAGGGAGATAGATTGCCCTTCCCTACCTCCCTCCCTCCCTCCCTTCTTTCCTTCTGTTCCTTCCTCCCTCTTTCATTTCTCACTCCTTTCTTCACAGTGATAGCAACAACTATCCTCAGAGGCCTCTGATCCTTTTTTCCAGAGGACAGAATGTTTAGAAAACTCCACCCAGGATTGGCAGTTTCCCAAAGGGAAGATCTCTTTCTGGAATATTCCTTTCCTCCCAGAGCAAGAGACTTGGCCTTGGGTTAGAGGGCAAGAGTCTCTGTACTTTCCCTTCCAGACTGACTGCCAGAGTTGGGTGGGGACACCCCCTAACCTGGAGGCTGTTTCAAGAGCTCTTGGCATCTTGAGCCACTGGGCTTCAAAGGGTTCCTTATCCCTACTCCATTTTTGGGTAGATGTACTGGTTTAGATGGGCACTCCTTATCTCCTGTCCAGGCCTCCCTGGTCCCTGCAGTGCCAGGGTTCAGGATTTGGAAGGTGTGATTCTAAACTTTCTAATAGCTCAACACTTCCCCCCAAGATCACAGAATAGTGTTGGTCATCAGACTCAACATTTCTGAGAGTCATCATACCCAGGCCCTCCAGGTAGCCATAGAGGGACTGGCCACTTCCTTCTGTCTTTGGGAGAGGGACCCTGGGCTCTCACCTGAGATGCAGCAGATGGATAGCATGGCAACAGTGATTGTGATGGCAATCTTCATGGTGGAATCTGGGAGTCTTGGCTGTCTCTGGATGTGGGGTGGTATTGTAGTGTGTGTGAGTGTGTGAGGGTATCAGGTGGCCTTTTATATGTTCCAGGAAGCCCATAAGAGGTAGGGGGCAGGGCTTGGGTACCACTTAGGATACTGCATTATTTACTTGGTTACCTTCTCTGTGGAATAAGTAAATAATCTCTTTTCTTAAATCCAGTTTCTGTTCCCATTGAAACTGAGCTCACACAACAAGACACTTTTGGGGTGTCCATGCAGTGGGGGGAGCCCAAGTCAGAGGTTGTGGGGATCTGGACACCTGTGTCCTCTTTTTGAAGTCAAGCACTGGGTACCCCAGGCTCTAGGAAGCAACTGTAGACTTGCCAACCTTGGCAAACCAGAGACTGGCAGCAAAGACCCAGGACTCTAAAATGTCACTGCGCTCCTTCTATTGCCTCCCTCCAAGGAAAGTGGCTTGACTTTTTTTTTTCTTTTTTTTTTTTTTTTTTTTTTTTTTTTTTTGGTTTTTCAAGACAGGGTTTTTCTGTGTAGCTTTGGAGTGGCTTGACTTTAAGCCACAAAGCTCACTTGATTCTTGGGTGTCATTGGTCAGGTTAGATTCTGTATACAGTAGATGTGGACAAATGAAGACTTCTCCATAGTATACATCAGAGACCTAGGCCCAGATCAGGCTTGGTCTGTTCCTACCCAGCCCCATCCTTCTGATGGCCAGTTGAGGGGCACCTTCAGTCTTTATCTGACTTGACCTCTTCCTGGCCTTTACCCTATAGCCTCCTCCCTTTTGCTCCATTCTCTCCCAGGGCCTCCCACACTCTGCATTTTCCTGTTTTCCTTCCTTGGCTATTCTTTCTTGATGTTGACAGTTCTCAAGTGTTAGTAGTTCCCAGGCTTTAACCTTAGCCTCCTTGCTTCCCATGCTCTCTGTTTACTCTTTTACATCTCCAGTGCTCTTGTTGACTTAGCATGGAACCTCGCTTGGTTGAAATCCACATCTTCTGTCTTTGCTTCCCAGCCTTTCCCATTTCCACAAATCCTATTCAGACTTCCAGGTTGCCTCAAGTGTTCATCCATCCACCCAGTCAATAGATACCCGGTACCCACTATGGTGTGGTGGGGCTGGGAATTGGGGAAGACCTGGAGAGGAGTTTAAAGGGCCCACTCATGATCTTCCTGCCTAGTGGCTGTGAGGAATGTGGATATCTGAGAGCCTTCAGCTTCCAGTAACTGCAGGGTCTGCCCCTGCTACAGAGGTTGCCTTGCTTAAGGTCCCACCTTCCCCAGGGCCATTTGCATCGAATGATACAACAGAAAGGGGATTTAAAGCTGTGAGAATTTTGGTTTGCCTGTTTCCCAGTGACTCTGGGCCATTAGGATGCACTTTTCTGTCGTTCTTGAACTGTCCTGTCCATTAGCTCAGTTCTAACTGTTAACTTGGCTCACTTCTGTGTCTCTGGCCTGATCCCAGCACAGAGACGGATGTGGCCATCACTGTAAAGAGAGTTCTTAAGCTGTTCCTCCACAGAGTAGCCTTGTAAAGAGCACTTCCAGCTCTGTCTTTGAGTCCTAGGGTGAGATTGTCTCTACGTATTTTCCTACCTCCAAATCCCAAACCAGCTATTAAACAGGGAAGCCTTCCTGGACCTGTGACATGGGCACTTAATGATACAGCCCGGTGGCTGTGCACAGAACGGTTTAGGTGTCATCAAGACAAGGGTCTCTAGAATGAGCATGAGGTACCGAGTTTGGCTCTTGAGCATCCATGCAAAGTTGGATGTGTCTGGAATCCCAGACCTGGGCAGGTGGAGACAAGGGGAGCCTGGAAGCTTGCTGACAAGCCCATCTAGCCAAATGGGCCAGATTCAGACTCAGTGAGAAACCCAGTCTGAAACATGAGATGGGGAGTGACATAGGAGGACATCTGATGCCACCTCTGGCCTCCACCACACACAAACAAGTCATATTCATAACACACACACACACACACACACACACTCATGAAAGACTGTAGTTTACACCCTCTGTGGACATCTGCATGCAGGCCCTTATACAGGGCTTAAGTTATAGGGCCTTCAAGATGGTCTGGATCCTGCGTTAGTTTCTGCCACTTGTCTCCATCTGTCTCCTTCTCCAACTCTCTTCTTCTAAGTTCATTTATGTGCCCCCCCATTTCACTCATCCTTTCTGACTGGGTCTCTGGCTCAGATCATGAAAGAACAGTGCTATTCCTGGGTGATGGCTTTGTTCAGACTCAGGGGGCATGGGCTGGAGATTAGCCTTGAGGCTGTGGTCCCCAGATTGTTACCACCAAGAGTACCAGACTGGCTCTTCCATCCTGGCCCTGGAGAGAGGCCAGCTTGTTGGTAGTGGGCCTTCCTCCGGCCCTGGGATCTAAAACTCCTGCTTCTCTGAACTGCCACAGGGGTGTGTCACTCAAGGTTCTGAGAGCTGAGTTTCTTAAATTCCAGCCCCAGCTCCTCACCCCCTTCCCCCATTGACTTTCAGGCTAGAGCCCTAAGCCTGCTTAGCACCTGAGAGAAGGTTAGGGGCTGCCACCTCTGGCTGCACTGGGGCAGGTATACCGTGCACAGATGAACTCCTTGGGAAAGGGAAGCCACTTGGTTACTAGTACCGTGAAGGTGGTATTGAATTGGCACGTCTCCCCCTGGTCCCTCTACCCTCCTTATTTCTGGCATTGGCTGTGACTGGCTCTGCAGAGTCCTGGTCCCTAGATTGATGGAGATCCGGGTTAGCAATCTTCTGGAGTGATACAAATACTTTGGGCCTGATTTCAGAAAAGGCCAGGAGGAGCCTCATCCACAGCCTGAGGGAACTGGTGGGCTTGGACACTTCATCTGGGTATTTAGATTCTTAATCCTAGGTCACCTGGCCCCTTCCCAACACCATGCAGTGTGTGTGTGTGTGGATAATGTGTGAGTATGCACATGGGTGCCAGGTTGTTGTCCCTAGTGAGCCCTTTCCTTGTTCTCGCTTAAGAACTTAGTTGGCAATGGCAGGAGGGAGGGGTGAAGTCAACAGTGCCCTCCACCAGGTACTGCAGGAGACATTGCCTAAGACCAGATGTTTATCCCCTGGCTTTAGTGCTTAGCCTATCCCCAAAAGCAGAAGCTGGAGAACAAGTCCCAGCATGGCCCAGAAAGCAGGTTGGAGGCCCTGGGTGGGCCATTCTGAGCCTAGTGCTGGGCCACAGAAAGACTGGTCAGACCACAGGCTAGGTAGGGTCAGCTTATGAGGTCAGCTGGGGGGCAAGCTATACAGACCAGTCTCTGCCTCTTCCCCCAGTGGCTAACTCTGTGATGGCTCAGGAAACAGCTGTCAATCAGAGCAGATTTTCCCTCCTGAGTTTGGTTTATTCTCTTTTGCCCAAGGCTGAGCCCTGTATTGATCTAGAACCCTCACAGGAAGAGCTTGGCACCTGTTGGGAGCCATAAGTTAAGGGGCCATCCAGAGCAGTGGAAAACTACAGGTCCTTGAAGGACTTGCCCCCTGGCAACTGCTGCCACTGGCTGTTCTATCCCAGGAAGAGACAAGCAGCTCTGAGGACAAGAAACATAGGAGGCTTTCAGGCAACAGGCATTCTTTAGATAGCCTCTTGCACCAGATGTACTAACTCCCTCCTCAGTTCCTCACCTCCCTTCTGCAGCCCGTTCTGGGCGCCCCACTGCCAGCAGCCTTGCTCCCCTCTTCCCTCCTCCCTCCCTCTACATTCCCTCCTTGCCACATCCCTATATAAGTCTTATTAGTCCCTCAATAAAGTGAGACCGTGACAAAATTTGTTATGCTTGCATGGTCTCCTTTCTTTCTCCCGCCCATGACTCTCTTTCAGGCAGTACCTTTTCAGACCCTGAATAACTGGACCTGCTGGATGGGTCAGGCACCCTGCTGCGTATTTGCTTGTTTTGCTTAGCAGCAATGATGCCTGTAACCCTGAGCTTCTAGAGGACCTAAAACAACGGTCACTTATCCATCTCACTGACTCTAAATGCTGAAAGGAGATGTCTCAGTTATAATCGGTGAACATTTGTCTAGATGACAGAACTCAAGTAGTTAGCCATAGCTCAGTCCAACTATGACACAGTTGCATGAAGATGTATGGAGATGTGGAGTTGTTTAAGGTTTGAAGTGCACAGTCTCCACCTGCAGTCAAAGCAAACCCAGTGCAATCTCCATCAAAGAGTTTCTAATCCCCTTATGCGTACTGTGAGGACCAAGCATTACTTTTTTGCTTGTTTAATTTTTCTGACTTTTTACTTATTTGTATTGTGTGTGCACGTGCTACAGGGCCCACGTGCAGAGACCAGAGGCCAGCTTTGCGGAATTGGTTCTCTCCTTTCACCTTTACATGGTTCCAGGGATTGAACTCGGGTCGTCAGGTGTGTATCTGCTGAGCCCTTTGCTTGCCTCACTCTTCAGCTGTTTTTAAGACAAGGTCTCATGCAACCTAAGTTGGCCCGGAACTTGCTGTTTAACTGAGGCTGGCATTGAAGTTCTAATCTTGCTTTTCCCATTTAATGTATGTCTTCTGAAGTGTGTGTGTGTGTGTGTGTGTGTGTGTGTGCGCGCGTGTGTGATGTTTAGAGGTCAGAGATTGACATCTGCTGCCTTCTACTGTCTCTCTCTACCTTGGTTTTTGAGACAGGGTCTCTACGGAGCCTTAGTTGACCTGGAACTCAATATGTAGACCAGGCTGTCCTTGAACTCACAGAGATACCCCTACTGAGTGCTCTGATTAAAGGTGTGTGGTACCATACCAGGCTACACTTTATATTTTGAGACAGGATCTCTCACTGAAACTGGGGCTCATCATTTTGTCTAGACTGGCTAGATCATGATTCCCATGTGTTCCCTTGTCTCCTCCTGCTCAATGCTTGGATTCCTGATGGGTGCCACTATGCCTGGCTTTAGTGCTGCAGAACTGAACTCAGTTCTTTACAATAGATTGCATAGCAAGCATTTTACCCACTGGAATCTTG